CTCATACGTCTTGGTTAAGCTATGATTATAGTAAAATACATTTGATTACTAGAACTATTTCTCTTAAATGTTAAACATTTTTTTTAAACTTAATGACTGTAACTTTAAACTCCTCCCCAATTCTTCTTAACATTACATTTGTACTGTTTAATGACTGGCGTATAAATATATTTCAGCTTCTTCTTATCCTGTTTATCTTAATGTTAAAAAAATCTCATTATCTTCTAAATGTAGGTCATTCATTCCCGCCTTTTTAACGTTAAACTAAACAAACATTCTTGGTTGCATGCAACAACGTTATTTTCTGTTACAGTTTAGTTAAAGACAAGACGATGGCGCTGTTCCTTGTGGTGGTTAATATAATTTGTCACATTTAAAAAAATATACTGTTGTTGTTTCTTTTCTTTCAAACTTTAGGAAGTATTTAAGATTTATATGTTTTAAGCTTTTTTGTTTTTGCTATTGTATTACATTATATTAAATTAAATAGCAACAATTATTTTTTAAACTTCATTTAAAATGGTAAAGAAATTAAGGAAACTGTTTCGCAAAGGATATTCATATACCACAAGATGTACTATTGAGTATGATCGACGAATGTTTGGCAAAAGTATCAGAACTCAGGTGGTCCATTTGGTGAATTATGTGAAGAAAAAGCGTTAGTTTTGAATCCATAAGTTAACAAATCCTGAAAATTGTTAGTGTAGTCGATTAGAAATAAAGGTGTATGTTATGCCATCATCTGCTCTCAATTGATTTATAAGATCTCCCATTTGCAGCTGTTCCTTTTGAAATTTCTTGCTGTACATATTTTCTATCTTGATAAAGTTCCTGCTGCTGGATTTCTTTTTCTTTTAAACCCCGGGGTATTTCCTAGGATTTAAAGCTGCTCTCGATAGCGATCAAAGTCATGTACTGGTTGGAACATTCATGTAGTGCCTCAAACCAAGTGTACTAAAATATTGAAATTTAAGGAAAATAAGAAAATATTTTTCATTGTAATCAATATAATATTGCTTGTTATATGACTTCTTATGGATTTAACCACTGGTGGCGATTTCCTTAAGTTGAAAAATTATTAAAACCACAATTAATTGTTTAAGTGTTTTCATGATTTGAATGTTGCTCCTATATAATGTTAACGTAAATGAGCTGTTGTGAATATGTTTTCGGTTATTTATAGGAGGAATTTATGTATATAATACTGCTGCAGAGACCATCTGTAGATGATTTTGTATAACCATGGTCATAAAAGTTAATGGTATATTAAATTTAATATTCCCTTTGTAAGACATCGACGATTCATCTATTTTACAGCATTTGTATGTATAAAGCACGAAATAACATTTTAAATCCTTATTTGTAAGTGCTTTTTTAAGTAGATATTTGTGAGCGAGCATGGTAAGCACCTGTGAATTCATGTGTTTTAATTCGGAAATCACTCAAATGTTCACTTTACTATAAAGATGTATGATACAATTTCATATTCTGGTCCTACTGAAATTCACTATAAATGTACGATACATGACAGATGGTAGGTATAGAAGATTCGGCGTGGCCAAAGTTTAACTAGCTAACTAACTAACTAACTAACTAACTAACTAACTAACTAACTAACTAACTACTAACTAACTAACTAACTAACTAACTAACTAACTAACTACTAACTAACTAACTAACTAACTAACTAACTAACTAACTAACTAACTAACTAACTAACTAACTACTAACTAACTAACTACTAACTAACTAACTAACTAACTAACTAACTAACTAACTAACTAACTAACTAACTAACTAACTAACTAACTAACTAACTAACTAACTAACTAACTAACTAACTACTAACTAACTAACTAACTACTAACTAACTAACTAACTACTAACTAACTAACTAACTAACTAACTAACTAACTAACTAACTAACTAACTAACTAACTAACTAACTAACTAACTAACTAACTAACTAACTAACTAACTAACTACTAACTAACTAACTAACTAACTAACTAACTAACTAACTAACTAACTAACTAACTAACTAACTACTAACTAACTAACTACTAACTAACTAACTAACTACTAACTAACTAACTACTAACTAACTACTAACTAACTAACTAACTAACTAACTAACTAACTAACTAACTAACTAACTAACTAACTACACTAACTAACTAACTAACTAACTAACCTAACTAACTAACTAACTAACTAACTAACTACTAACTAACTAACTAACTACTAACTAACTAACTAACTAACTAACTAACTAACTAACTAACTAACTAACTAACTACTAACTAACTAACTAACTAACTACTAACTAACTAACTAACTAACTAACTAACTAACTAACTAACTACTAACTAACTACACTAACTAACTAACTAACTAACTAACTAACTAACTAACTAACTAAAACAGACTAACTAACTACTAACTACTAACTAACTAACTAACTAACTAACTAACTAACTAACTAACTAACTAACTAACTAACTAACTAACTAACTAACTACCTAACTAACTAACTAACTAACTAACTAACTAACTAACTAACTAACTAACTAACTAACTAACTAACTAACTACTAACTAACTAACTAACTAACTAACTACCAACTAACTAACTACCTACTACTAACTAACTAACTAACTACTAACTAACTAACTAACTACTAACTACTAACTAACTCTAACTAACTAACTACTAACTAACTAACTAACTAACTAACTACTAACTAACTAACTAACTAACTACTAACTAACTAACTAACTAACTAACTAACTAACTAACTAACTAACTAACTAACAACAAACAAACTAACTAACTAACTAACTAACTAACTAACTAACTACTAACTAACTAACTAACTAACTAACTAACTAACTACTAACAACTAACTAACTACTAACTAACTAACTACTAACTAACTACTAACTACTAACTACTAACTACTAACTAACTAACTAACTAACTAACTAACTAACTAACTAACTAACTAACTAACTAACGACTACTACTAACTAACTAACTACTAACTAACTAACTAACTACTACTAACTAACTAACTACTAACTAACTAACACTAACTAACTAACTAACTAACTAACTAACTAACTAACTAACTAACTAACTAACTAACTAACTAACTAACTACTAACTTACTAACTAACTAACTAACTAGGGCTTGTGGTCTTCCTGAGTCGTATGACGACCACACGATCTGCAGATAGCCTCAATCGACATGGCATCTATGTTGCGCAAGCTCATGGAGTTTATCATGAATCGAGCGTTTGCACCATTAAAACTGTATAACGACGAGAAAGTCAGTATGCTATGTTGTTGGCAATGGTACTGCCAGTTATCAGTTGTTGAACTGGAAGCCTGCACTAAGTGACTCATATGCAAAATATCAATTGCCCTGAGTCTATAAGCTGAATTGAGGGCAATCTCTTTAGCCATTAGATCAATAAGTTACCAATTCCTCATGACAAAAAGAGCGTTTGATGGAATGGTAAGAAGAGCCCCAGTTACCACCAGACAAGTGCACCATACAGGGCTTTTCTACCATATCGTGTAAAAGATTACATAAGTAATGCATTACCTACTATTACCAACAGGTGAAATATTTTAGGAAATGTCTAAACTTCTCACAACCCAGCCGCTAAAATAAGGTCAAATTGTGTAACCTTTTTAAAAACCCCAGATACTTGAATTCAACACCTATCTACTCTATCTTTCCAATCCCCATTTGTAATCTCCAAAGGGCTTGACCTATAATTGAATGAATAAGAATAGCCGATGTTTCCGCCATCGGCGAATGTGTTAATATGTTCGGAAGTGTAATAAAGAAGGTCGTTTATGAGAATAAGAAACATATTAGCGGAAAGAACGAAGCCATGCGGTACATGATGTGACACACCATTTTCGAGAGGTCCTCCGTAGTATGAAGGTAAATTGTTCAATAAATAAATCCAAAGTGCAAATAGTGTGTTTTGATGTTCAACTTAATCAATTTCATTGCGAATATACGTAGCTGTGGTTTAAAGCCAAACTCACGGGAAGACAATATTGGTTAAAGGACAGAAATCTGAAATTTTTATTTCGGGATAAGTTTGGTGCTGTTACCGAAAAGACAACAGATACCCCGCAGTTATATGACTGAGGTGCTAAGCATTGGAAATGAGTTTGTGTCAAGTGTATATGATACGGGATGGATGTAGAGGTATGCGGGCCTCACCCACCCGTATATCTAGAGTGAATGACACATTCATGTTTTTCTCAATGAATGTGTCGTATAAATGATAAATGTACTGGGTTGAATAGTTGACAGATGTAAAGTATCTTGTACAAGTGATACCATTGAATTTTCCTTCCTTGTCAAGGTACATACATATGTTTAAGGTTTACTCGATTCGTACCAGACTTACCACACTTACGTGTGTTCTCTGTAAGTAAGAACTTGTCATTCGGTCTTCTAATAGCTCACCCGGTGGTTCTAAAAGTACCGCGGTTAAATAAGGCTACGCCCACATACAAAATAAGTAGTAAAAGTTGCATGTCTCAGAAACTGCAACAGTGGGCGTGGCAGCTCCTATATAAAGAAAATCTTAAATTAGTATATCTGAGAAAATATAACAGCCAGAGTCCTCAGTTTTTCCGAGACACTTTAATATCAACATGAATGTTTAGGACCAAAAAACGGGCGGACTAGCAATAGAGGGCGTGGCACCTCCCATATGAATTAAATACTAAAATCCGTTTATCTGGGGAACTATTGAAGTTAGAATCCTTAAATTTTGAACGAAGAACTCTGAAATCCATGTGAAAATTTGGGTAATTAATTGGCGGACTATCAATATGAGTTTGGCACCTCTCATATGAATCAAATACAACAATTCGTACATTTGGGAAACTGTAAGAGCTAGAATCTTCAAAAATCGTAAAGTAGGTATTTATATAGAAGTAGTACAGTTGTATGGGTGGGTGGTATTATGATCCGTAATTCTGATAAACTTAACTATACATGGATGGCAACAGGTCAGCAATTCAATTACACCTATTGGAAGGTTAATAATCCTGATTTTACTAACAACAATGAATATTGTGTGGAAATCGGTTGGGGCTCTGATATGGAATGGAATGAGTTATCATACAAATACGGTTTAATCTGTGAACAAAACGAACTAGTAGGGTTAAAGCATAACAATGCGCAAGTACTAGAAAATTTACAGGAAATAACAAAAAGTTTGAATGCATTGCGACAAGAAGTGCAAGATCATGATCAGCTTAAAGAGAACTTAAGCATATACATAATAAGGCGTGAAAAATTACAGCAAGAACTTTCATCAAATCAGCAACAACAGGAGGAACTTAAGAAAGAATTTCAACAAGAACAACAGGTGGTGGATGAGCAAACGGATATAAAGGAGGCACAACAGTTTTTAAAATTGTTACAAAAACAAAAATTTAAATTGTTGGAAATTTTACAGAAAAATTTACAAAATCGCAAACAAATGAAAATGTCGAAAGTGAAGAGAAGCTGTGGAACAGTAGAAAATATCAAGATAATTTTTTTTTAATTCATTGTCTTAAACCGTTAAGGTTTACAATAGTTTAGAATAATTTAAATCCACATAAAAGCGATCTTATGTGAACCAAATATATCCATATTCGAAAATTAGAGTTAAATGGATCCAATTATAAAAAATGTTCGCCATATATGTATATACATATATGTTTGTAAATCCTCATCACGGAATATCTAAAGCTATTTATATGGGTTTTCTGAAAAAATGAATATTACCAACTAAGATCTATATCGGACCATAATTGGTCATAGCTCACATAAAAGGTCCACTTCCGAAAATCACTTAAATGCACATAACTTATTAAGAAATATTAAGAAATAAAGATATTGGAATAATATTCGACATAAACAGTGTTTTATGTATACATATACGACTCTACTTAATTTTATTCGGATCGGTCCATCGGTCATAGCTCCCATAAAAGGCCCACTTTCGATAATCACGTAAACGGACATTTTTTATTACTGAATAAAGATATCGGTAAAAAAAAATTGTCATGAAAGTGTTTAAAGAACATATAAACCAGCCTGAGAAATATTTCCGGATTGGTCCATAATTGGTCATAGCTCCCATATAAGGTCCACTTCCGAAATTCACTTAAAGGCACCTAACTAATTAAGAAATAAGGATAGGAGAATAATATTCGTCACAAATAGCGTTTTGTGTATACTTATATGATACTACCAAACTTTTTCCGGATCGGTCCATAATTGGTCATAGCTCTCATATGAGGACCACTTCCGATAACCACGTAAACGGATATAAGATCCATCTCTTAAAATCGCATATTTCATTGATAAATAATCGGACTAAAATTCCCCATAAAAAGTTTTTATATATACAAATCACTCCCACTTCCTTAAGTTACTTCTAATTAGTTAGCTATTTAGATGGGTTTTCTTCAAAAGTAGCTTACAGGTTTAAGATAGAATATAGCACTCTAACTTGTTTAATATCATTATCCTTATTTTAAAACTATAATATTTTAACAAAAGTATTGTTGAACTACAAGACATAGACATTAATTAGGGACTTAAACGATTAATATCGGATAGATAGTTTAGAAAATATACGATGTTAAACTTAATGCTTGTTGAAAAAAATCCAAAAAAATATGAACTTCGAACCTCGATAAAATCTAAACCGTAACGAATTTATAAATTTTGGAGAACTTTAAACTTCGTGTTTATAACAAGTGAGAGTATTATATTTGGCTGTGCCGAATTTCATATACCCACCATCAAACCGTATGCATTAAAAGGAATGCTCCCCTATAAACATCATGTTGATATTACCTATCAAATTAACTGAAGAGGACCTTATATGAGAGATAGGGTTAATAATTGACCGTTTTTCATAAAATTTTTTTAGATCAATTTTGGTTCATACAAAACATCTTTACATCGAATATCATTTCCCGACACTTTCCGCATGATATTCGGTAGAAAGATTTACGTTCCTATAATGTTTCTTATATAAAATTTCATAAGTGTTCACGTATTTTTAAGTCAGCAAAGATCGTTAAAGTAATTTTCTTATGGACCGATCCTCAATACAATTGTTAGAGAGGTTTTAACTCGTATAAGCCAGTAATGATCGTTTAAGTAATTTTTTGACGGGCACCATATATGGGGAGTAGGGTCATTATGGACCGATCCACATAAAGTTTGACAGAGAGATTTTGGCTTCATTGAAACTTATGTGTGTCGAATTTCATCACTATACTCGTATTTTTAAGCCAGTAATAAGCGTTAAAGTCATATTATGAAGGCGACCTTGTATGGGGGGTAGGGTCAATTATAAACCGATCAACATAAAATTAGGTAGGGAGATTTTGGATCATATGAAACTTATGTGTGTTAAATTTTATCACTATACTCATATTTTTAAGCCAGTAATGAGCGTTAAAGTCATTTTCTGAAGGGGACCTTATATGGGGTCAATTATGGACCAATCCCTATAAATTTGGTAGAACGGTTTTGGATCATAAGAGACTTACTTATGTCAAATTTCATTCATATACTAGCCAGTAATGAGCGTTAAAACTAATTTTTTGAAGGGAACCTTATATGGGGGTAGGGTTAACTATGGACCGATCGACATAAAAGTTGATAGAGAGATTTTGGCTACATTGAAACTTATGTGTGTGGAATTTCATCGCTATACTCGTACTTTTGAAACAGATATGCCCATTAAAGCGGTTTTTCATGGATCCACTTGTATGGGGGCTATCCGAAAACGTAGACCGATATTGCCCATTTTCAATACCAAATTTCTCTTCGTTCGGACTCTATCGTGTTTTCAACAGACACACAGACAGACGGACGGACAGACAGGCGGACGGATGGAAGGACATGGCTAGATCGTCTAAGAATTTAATAAGGACCCAGAATATATATACTTTTGTGGGTCAATGCCCAATATTTCGATGTGTTACAAACGGAATGTCAAAATCAATATAACCCCCACCTTTTTTCATCAAAATCGATGGGGGTCATGTTCAAAATCCTACTTTTTTGTTTGAAATTTTTTGAAGTTACCCTATAGTCATTAAGCAATGTTCGTCCGTACGTCCGTCTGTATGTTTGTTGAAATAAAATATCTAAAGACCCCAGATATCTTCGGAACTCAAGTCATCAAAAATTCTGTCATACATCAGCAAAATCCGAGACAACCTCTGAAAATTTCATAAAAAATTTAGATTTTTGGCGCATGCTTAGACAACAATAATAATAAACAACAACAACACACAGCATCATATGTTAAATTTTGTTCTTGTACTTAGTTTGCAAAGCAGAGCAAGAATGAAGCTGTGTGTTGTTGTTGTTGTCTAGAAACATGCAATTAAGCATGTAGAGCCCGGAGTAAATGAGAACCTATAAAAGGGAACTTTTTGTTACTTTTTCGTTCTTCAAAGGGTACTTTTTAAATTTTCTATAATATTCAACCTAGAAATAGAGCATTCAACATAGACTCTAAGTTGTTTTCTATACCACTGTGGAACGTTTAAAGAAAGTGTTAAGTAGTTCACCTTTGACAAAATATTTTTCTCTTTTTACAGTTTGATAATATATTTTAGATTTTCTGTTTTATTAATTATTGCCATTTTCATGAAATTGTGCATTTGAAATAGATAAGTATTTTGATTAAATTGAAAACTAATTGGACGATATTTTCGATGTTTCTCCTCATTTTCTTGACTTTCTTCCGGTTCTAGAGGTTGTAATTTTTTTGCAATAAAATTATGCCATTCTTGTTGTTTTTGCAAAGCTTCATGTAAATTTCTAGCTTCTTTCTGTAATTGTTCCCCCAATTCTAGTTGATGTTTTTGTAGATCCTGTAAATTTGTGTTTTCTGCTGATAACTCTTTTCTCTTTAAAACATTTTCATTGTTAATTTTTTGTAATTCTTTCTTAGTTTCACCAGTTCTTCTTGCAAATCTTGGAGTTCTTTGGCCACCATTTTAAAGTTATCTCTAAGATCAATATGTTCTTTTAAATCTTGTTGACATTTCTGGAGATTTCGTTCCAGTTCATTCTTATATTGCTGCACCTTAAAACTTTCTCGGGTATATTCACATATGAAACCATATTTAAACTTCACATACATTATCATTCCATTCCATATTTGAGGCAGAACCAATTTGTATACAATACTCATTATTGAGAGAAAAATCTGGATTTTGATGTTTCCAAAAGGTATAACTGAATTTTCCCCTGTACTTATCCATATATAGTTACGTGCATCGGGGTAATGGGTTAAAATGCCTCCAACCCAGAGAATAACATTTTTATTAAAAATACTTTTTACTAGAGTATTTATTTCCTCCGATTTATGTTGTGTTTCAATTGACACCAACGTCATGTTCATTTTTAAACATTCACTAAGGCCATCGAACCAAGTGTACTAAAATATTTAACATTTAAAAGTTACAATTAAAATATTTTAGTAAAAATTAAAATTTTCTAGCTAACCTTTTGATCGGGATTTATAAAGTACTGTTTATTAGTTGCTGTGGTATAAATTTTACCACTGGTATAGATTCCATTTATTCTCGAAATTATTAAAAACCGCAACTATTTGATAAAGTGTAGCCACCAAGCGCATTTTCAAGTTATTTCTTTTAAAAAACAAAAATTGAAATAATTTTTTCAGAATTGGGTTTCTGTTATTTATATGCGAAAGACTTAGTTATATACGTATGTATTATGTGTATAGGAATAGGTCATAGTTCTTTTTAAAAGTTTTGATTATATTTTTTGATAAATGGTTTTAACATTCAGAGTGACTGCAGCGAACCACTACTACTTTTTCCATTTTATACTCTTTTTCTATCAATATTAAATTATTATTTGAATTAGTTGATTTGGTCATGGGAACTACTTTTTTGGTGTATTATTTGGAATTAGTGTTTTAAGGGGAATGAAACTAGAAACTAGAACTGAACTAGAACTGAACTAGAACTGAACTAGAACTGAACTAGAACTGAACTAGAACTAGAACTGAACTAGAACTGAACTAGAACTGAACTATAACTGAACTAGAACTGAACTAGAACTGAACTAGAACTGAACTAGAACTGAACTAGAACTGAACTAGAACTGAACTAGAACTGAACTAGAACTGAACTAGAACTGAACTAGAACTGAACTAGAACTGACTAGAAACTGAACTAGAACTGAACTAGAACTGAACTAGAACTGAACTAGAACTGAACTAGAACTGAACTAGAACTGAACTAGAAACTAACTAGAACTGAACTAGAACTGAACTAGAACTGACTAGAAGCTGAACTAGAACTGAACTAGAACTGACTAGAACTGAACTAGAACTGAACTAGAACTGAACTAGAACTGAACTAGAACTGAACTAGAACTGAACTAGAACTGAACTAGAACTGAACTAGAAACTGAACTAGAACTGAACTAGAACTGAACTAGAACTGAACTAGAACTGAACTAGAACTAAACTAGACTGACTAGAACTGAACTAGAACTGAACTAGAACTGAACTAGAGAACTGAACTAGAACTGAACTAGAACTAAACTAGAACTGAACTAAGAACTGAACTAGAACTGAACTAGAACTGAACTAGAACTGAACTAGAACGAAACTAGAACTGAACTAGAAACTGAACTAGAACTGAACTATAACTGAACTACGAACTGAACTAGAACGGAAACTGAAACTGAACTAGAACTGAACTAGAACTGAACTAGAACTGAACTAGAACTGAACTAGAACTGACGAGACTGAACTAGACTACTAGAACTGAACTAGAACTGAACTAGAACTGAACTAGAACTGAACTAGAACTGAACTAGAACTGAACTAGAACTGAACTAGAACGGAACTAGAACTGAACTAGAACTGAACTAGAACTGAACTAGAACTGAACTAGAACTTGAACTAGAAACTGAACTAGAACTAACTAGAACTGAACTAGAACTGAACTAGAACTGAACTAGAACGGAATAGAACTGAACTAGAACTGAACTAGAACTGAACTAGAACTGAACTAGAACTGAACTAGAACTGAACTAGACTGAACTAGAACGAACTAGAACTGAACAGAACTGAACTAGAACTGAACTAGAACTGAACTAGAACTGAACTAGAACTAAAACTAGAACTGAACTAGAACTGAACTAGAACTGAACTAGAACCGAACTAGAACTGAACTAGAACTGAACTAGAACTGAACTAGAACTGAACTAGAACTGAACTAGAACTGAACTAGAACTGAACTAGAACTAAACTAGAACTGAACTAGAACTGAACTAGAACTGAACTAGAACTGAACTAGAACTAAACTAGAACTGAACTAGAACTGAACTAGAACTGAACTAGAACTGAACTAGAACTAAACTAGAACTGAACTAGAACTGAACTAGAACTGAACTAGAACTGAACTAGAACTGAACTAGAACTGAACTAGAACTGAACTAGAACTAAACTAGAACTGAACTAGAACTGAACTAGAACTGAACTAGAACTGAACTAGAACTAAACTAGAACTGAACTAGAACTGAACTAGAACTGAACTAGAACTGAACTAGAACTAAACTAGAACTGAACTAGAACTGAACTAGAACTGAACTAGAACTGAACTAGAACTGAACTAGAACTGAACTAGAACTGAACTAGAACTGAACTAGAACTGAACTAGAACTGAACTAGAACTGAACTAGAACTGAACTAGAACTGAACTAGAACTGAACTAGAACTGAACTAGAACTGAACTAGAACTGAACTAGAACTGAACTAGAACTGAACTAGAACTAACTAGAACTAAACTAGAACTGAACTAGAACTGAACTAGAACTGAACTAGAACTGAACTAGAACTGAACTAGAACTGAACTAGAACTGAACTAGAACTGAACTAGAACTGAACTAGAACTGAACTAGAACTGAACTAGAACTGAACTAGAACTGAACTAGAACTGAACTAGAACTGAACTAGAACTGAACTAGAACTGAACTAGAACTGAACTAGAACTGAACTAGAACTGAACTAGAACTGAACTAGAACTGAACTAGAACTGAACTAGAACTGAACTAGAACTGAACTAGAACTGAACTAGAACTGAACTAGAACTGAACTAGAACTGAACTAGAACTGAACTAGAACTGAATTAGAACTGAACTAGAATTGAACTAGAACTGAACTAGAACTGAACTAGAACTGAACTAGAACTGAACTAGAACTGAACTAGAACTGAACTAGAACTGAACTAGAACTGAACTAGAACTGAACTAGAACTGAACTAGAACTGAACTAGAACTGAACTAGAACTGAACTAGAACTGAACTAGAACTGAACTAGAACTGACCTAGAACTGACCTACTGAACTAGAACTGAACTAGAACTGAACAAGAACTGAACTAGAACTGAACTAGAACTGAACTAGAACTGAACTAGAACTGAACTAGAACTGAACTAGAACTGAACTAGAACTGAACTAGAACTGAACTAGAACTGAACTAGAACTGAACTAGAACTGAACTAGAACTGAACTAGAACTGAACTAGAACTGAACTAGAACTGAACTAGAACTGAACTAGAACTGAACTAGAACTGAACTAGAACTGAACTAGAACTGAACTAGAACTGAACTAGAACTGAACTAGAACTGAACTAGAACTGAACTAGAACTGAACTAGAACTGAACTAGAACTGAACTAGAACTGAACTAGAACTGAACTAGAACTGAACTAGAACTGAACTAGACTGAACTAGAACTAGAACTGAACTAGAACTGAACTAGAACTGAACTAGAACTGAACTAGAACTGAACTAGAACTGAACTAGAACTGAACTAGAACTGAACTAGAACTGAACTAGAACTGAACTAGAACTGAACTAGAACTGAACTAGAACTGAACTAGAACTGAACTAGAACTGAACTAGAACTGAACTAGAACTGAACTAGAACTGAACTAGAACTGAACTAGAACTGAACTAGAACTGAACTAGAACTGAACTAGAACTGAACTAGAACTGAACTGAACTAGAACTGAACTAGAACTGAACTAGAACTGAAGTAGAACTGAACTAGAACTGAACTAGAACTGAACTAAAACTGAACTAGAACTGAACTAGAACTGAACTAAAACTGAACTAAAACTGAACTAGAACCTAACTAGAACTGAACTAGAACTGGACTAGAACTATTTGTTATTTATACTTATATTACGTTAGTAGTAAATTTTGTAAGGACCCAGCTTTTGTGCGCATACAACTAAAATTTTTATGTGTTACAAACAGAATGACAGCATCAATATACTCGCCATTTTACTTTGTTTTATTTGTAGTCTCCAAATAATAATATTTGCTTATCACAATAAAACCACATAATTATATTTGTAAGTGATTAAATTTATTTAAATTTAATATTATTTAACAGCATGTAGATATTGTAAAAATATAACTTAAGTGGAATAGGTGCCCTAAAATATTACTTCAATAATTTAGCATTAACATACTTTAGGAGTGGATATTCTAGTCTTCTTTTGAGAGAATTATCCATTAAATTAAATCGATTTATTTGGTTTGATTTTTATAGAACTTTGCGTATTTATTTCACATACGGATCGTATGCGGACTAAGCGTTTCTTTTATAAAAATTATAATCTACATATAAAGTAGGTAAAGTGATTTTGTGAGGGGGACCTTATATGGGAGGTAAGGTCAATTATGAAGCGGTCTTCATAAAATTGATTGCAGTGATTTTTCTTTATATAAAACTTGTTTATGTCGAATTTCGTAGCTTTACTTGTATTATTAAGCCAGTTTTGAGCGTTAAAGTGATTTTCAGAAATTGACCTTATGTGGGAAGTAGGGTCCACCATACATTAAAATATAATTTTTGGTTACATAAAACTAAATTGAGCAATATTTTATCACGATTGATAGTTATACATCAACTAATTATTGACTCTTTAAACTATATTTCGAGGTGCTAAGCGAAATCGTAGACCGATATTGTTTATTTTTAATACCAAACAAACCTTATTAATAGAGAATATTTATGCAACATTTTAACTGTTTAGCTTATCCCGTGTGTTCCCTATCGTGATTTCAACAGACAGACGGACAGATCGTTTAATCAGGACACAGAATATATACATACTACATACTTTATACGACCAATATTTCAATGTTTATTAATATTATTTAATTGTCATTATTCAATGCAGCGTTTGATTGTAAATATGCATTTTGAATAATTGGAATAATATAATTATTATATTTTCCATTCTTCTCCTCATTTTTGGCTTCAACCCTTTTTGCTGCAAAATTTTCTCCATTTGTTGTTGTTGTTGACATTCTTGTTGTTTTAGCAGAATTTGCTGTAATTTCCGCTCCATATCTTGTAATGTTTTCTCTAATAGAATTTGCTGTTGCATATATTTCTCATTTATTTCTTTAAGATCATGATTCTTTAGTTTGTTATCATTTATTAGTATTTGCAATTGGCCTGTAAGATTTTTGTTAAGGGCCTGTTGTAAATTTTCACGTTTTTGCTCTTCAATTCGTAAGGTTTCTTTGAGCTTTTCGTGAATTTCTTGAAGTTTTAATTCATTTTCCTGCTGTTGTTGTTGTTCACATATGTATCCATATTTAGTTGAACAACCAATATCAGTCCATTCCACTTTCCCAGCCCAACCGCTCAGAATACACTCATAGTTAAAATGTGTTTTATCATAATTCCAATAAGTATAATTAAATTCTTTACCGGTTGAAGTCCATATATAGTTACGTGTATTTTTATTCATTCTACCACCTATATACACTTTTGGTATATCTGTAAATATATTAGTATTTGTTAACAGTGCATTTAATGCTTCCTGTTCCTTGCTCGTTTCAATTGTAACCAATTCCATATTCAGTTTTAAGC